ATTAGTTCGTCCCAGGTGACACCTTCAAGTGACTAAAATGCTTCGCTTTGAAGTTAGTTTCCCAGCTGATTTTTTAATTATATAGGGTATATGCTTCAACTACGCTCACACGTTTCCACTATGTCGCACCACAAAAATACGTATGGTTATGTCACAATAGAAGCACGCCACAGTCGAAATCCCGAGCCATAGTTCAAACACTTATCCCAAATCAAAATGAAGCACATATAAGATTAGTTGCAATACCATGTACAAAAATGGTGTTTAACATTGTTCCTTGAGTAATACCTCAATGAAAACAACAACGAAAGCTTGTCACGCAAGAAGAAGGAGCACTGTTGGGCACTTTCTGAAATATTTCAATAGTATAATTCCCTTGCAAACCCAAATAAATCTATCTGCGTAAAAATAAATAAAATAAGAGTGATTTGCGGCAAAACCCGCCAGTATCACACCCAACGTCAGTGCCTATACGTAAGCGTACTACGACGCGGCTTTCAACTAAAGGAGTAACAAGTGTGATACTATCACTTCAGGCTAGAACTTTGGTTCTCTTATGCAATGGTTCATCAGAGAGGGGAAGCTCAGCATGCTTGGCATGCACAGTCGTACACACCAACCGCTCATTTGCCAACAACCCCTCACTCAGTTGTTGAAAATTGATTTTCCTTAAAGTAATTGATAGACCAGAATCATAGCCTACTATAGATATACAAAGAGTAGGTAAATCTTAACATTTGAATCAACACCAATGAATTTTTACACTTAAAGTCCGAGATGTGCAGCGAGCATTTCTCACTTCATTTTTACAACGCAAAAACAAATGCAGTTTATTACTAGAATTAAAATCTACCTTCTCTTACGTACCTATTACAAGCTTGAACTTTACTCTATCTACTGCTTCAAACAGAACTACGTTTTGTCAACTGTGTGCAAAGTCACTAGCAAATGAGCAGTTTGTGACCAAAACTGTGCTTGCCAAGCATGAAGCTCAGTAATCCTCATCGCATGCTCATGACGCTATTCTGTCACGGCATGAGCCAACGATGCCGGACCTAAACCAACCGTCTCCAACGCTCCACTATGAAGCATAAGATTAGGCCCGCCCACCAACGTCCAGGTTAAAAAACTAGCCAAGGGGAGGGTACAAAGTGACACCGAGGGGCGCTAATAAGGTGATTTTTGCAAATGTAATCTTACTTATTTAAAATAGTTACAGTGCACCAAAATTGATGAAATTTTGGGTTTGGATTCCATTTTTAATGCAGATTACGAATATGCATTTACCTCAATACCCTTAAAGAACCTAATTGTCAAACGAGTGATTCGAACTTTCAAACGGGCGATCAGATCTGTCAAACGAGGTGAGACGCAAACCAAGGCAATAGAGTTCTCTACCACCGTTAGTATTAGTGAGCAGTTTCATTAATACAAGCGTTTTACTGGTTGAAAATAAAAAAAAAACAAACCGCTGTCAAGTCGAACACTTTGACAGCTGATTTCGTGTTTGAAAATATTAAACAAATCGATTTTACACGGCTACACTAGCAACGTTGTATTGGTGAAATCTTGCGGCAAGAAGTCAATATAAATTATATGTGGGTTCGTGTCCTTGCTCATGATATGACGTGATCGGATGAGTAGATGTCGGTAGTGTTTAACGTATTTTAAATACGGTTTGGGCACGAATTTGAAAATAGCTTGTATAAGCTGTCACGTCGGTTCGTCGGTGCTGAAATCACTGATTTTCAACAAAAATGCAGCCAAAACAAAATCTGCTTTCACCGCTCTCTCTCACACACACACACATAGAATTACGGTAGACTTGGAAGCGGCAAAACCAAGAACCAGCAACAGATAGCAAATACAGCAGTAGCGGGCCTCCATCAGGAGTCCATCCAGTAACAACAACATCCGGGCCGAGGCTACTCAACAGTAGCGCCCATCCAGCAACCACACCTTCAGTGGCATCGACAGTGAGGGCTTTTGAAGAGTTTCCCTCACTGCGACTTCGAAGATCTATTCATCAGTCGCAAGGGTGATGTGATACCCTGACCGGGACTGCTCAACAGTAGCGCCCGTCAATCAAGCCAGTATCAAACCTTCCACAATGTAGCAGTAGCAGTAGCAGCAGCAGCAGCAGTAGCAGTAGTAGCAGCAGGAACGGCAGCAGTAGCAGTGGAAACTTAGCAGCCGAGATTCGTGTAGTCGTGACCGAGGCTGGAAATCTCGGTCCGGTCACAACATACACAAGCATCAAATGCCATTTTTCTGTTTGTTTGCGGAATCCGATTCGCTGCATCTGTTCCGACCGCAGCTACCAGAATGTTTGTTACGGCTTGGTTCCAATCGAAACGTCCTTCCGCGGATGGATTTTTTTTTTCATCATCTTCATTATCTTCCTGGACAATCGGATCGGCTGTTACAAATAAATTCAGAAAAGTTATACGCATCTTATTTGGGAGGAAGCAGCAAGTGATTGAAAGTGTCGGCAAGAATATGGAATTCCAAAACAAACTTTTTTCGCAACATCATATTACCCATATTTCATGTTCCATGTTTGCCAAGAAATTTGTTGCCTATTCGGGATGGATTATGCTTCTGTTAATGCTGCTCTTCTGGATGAACAGAATTTCTCGTCGGAAGTTCTCTGAACTTCTCGTCGGAAATTTTGTAAAGTTCACATCGGAAGATCTCTCAATGTCGGATGTTCTCTGAATTTCTCCTCGGAAGCTTTGAACTTCTCCGGAAGATCTTTGAACTTCTCACCGGAAGTTCTCTGATCTTCTCCTAGGAAGTATTTTCGAACCTCTCCTTGACAGTTCTCTGAACTTCTCCTCGGAAGTTCTCTAAACTTGTCCTCGGAAGTTCTCTGTACTTCTCCTCCGAAATTCTCTGTACTTCTCATCGGAAGATCTCTTTGGAAGTTCTCAGAACCTCTTGTCGGCAGTTCATTGAACTTCTCATCGGCAGTACTCTGAGCTTATCGTCGGACTTTCAGGGAAGTTCTGTGAAATTTTTGTCAAAAATTCTGTGTACTTTTTAGCGGAAGCTATGTGAACCTCTCGTCGGAAGGTCTCTGTATTTCCCGTTGGAACTTCAGGGAGTTTAAATGAAGTTCTGTGATCTGCTCGAAATTTCTCTATGAAAGATCTCTGAAACGGGCCGTCGGAAGTTTTCTGACCTTCGCGTCTGAAGTTCTGTGAACTTTTCGTGAGAAGTTCAATGAACATCTCGTAGGAAATTCGCTGAACTTGTCATCGGAAGATCTTTAAACTTCTAGATGGAAATACTTTGAATTTCTCGTCAGAAATTCAGGCAACTTTAATGAAATTCTGTGAACTTTTGCGTCAAAAGTTCTGTGAAATTTTCGTCAAAAGTTCTGTAAACTTCTTATTGGAAGTTATCTAACCTCTCGTTGGAAGTGCTCTGAGCTTCTCTACCAACGTAACGCGATAGACAGATCACCTCTCCACAAGTGAGCGTCAGAAGAATCTGATTCTGAGAGGATGCTGCCAACTACTTGTCAAGTTGGCGTGAAACTCATCGAGCAGTTTAAAATAATGTTTCCTTTCACTCGAACTTTACAGCGAGGCAATATTGTAAGATTGTTTATTTTAGAACTTTGGGTATTGTTTATGCTAAGCCAAACAAAATTAGAATTTGTTGCCTGATTTTAATCTTCTTTAAATCTCTGGTAGAAGATGGTCTCAAAACTGCTCGACTTTGTGATTAATTGTTCATCAAGTTGCCACTTCTGGAACCAGAAATTCTTCAGTTCTCAAGAAGTGAAAGATTAAAAAAGCAAATTTTCATCTTTCGTTTCTCAAAAGATGAGCTAGATCAAAAGATTTTCCTTTTTGCGGTTTTACTATTCTCCATTATTCAAATATTTATGATTCTAGAGTACCTAGTTTTAGATCACGATCACAGTTCAAGCTGAACAATGCATTAAGTCCTAAGTAACATTGATCGATTCTCTCATGGACTTTCTCTTTCATTAATTCCTTGGGCATGGAATCGTATCTTGTCGTGTTTGTCGTATAAAATGCTAGACAATAGCTTGTTTCATCGATCTGTGTGCTGAAATTAGCTGGGAATGTCTTAACATTGCCGTGAGGATGCAAAGAGAAAGTCAACGAAGAGAATCTGTCAATGTTACTTAGGACCTAATGCATTGTTCAGCTCTCTGGACAGTCAAAGCATAATCTCATCTGTTTGGGTATTCTCAACGACTACATTTCATTTTGGGATTTCTGTGGTACATTTTTCTTTGAGTATTTTTTTCTTGCATAATCCATAGAATATAAACAAATTCGAGTAAACGTTAATTTCGTATTATTTAACTCTAACACAGTCAAACAAATCCATAGACAAAGACAATCACAATACAGTAATGACCCGTTTTTGCCTAGCAAACCCATGCAATTTTCAGGTGGTCTTATTGCACCAAAGTATACCTTAAACTTAAACATTCATCTTTGAAAGATTTGGAATAACGGTTGAGTAAAATTATCTAAAGCTAAAATCCGATGCGCGGAGGGGCTGACAAAATCACTACTGTAATGACCTATAGCCGAAATCGAAGCCGATGCCATCACCCAATAATCAACCAGTTGACCGATACTGCTTCAAACTGACCTTAGTCCATTGAAGAGTGAAATACAATTAATAAACAATTTACATCTTCCATTCTTCCCGATTCAATCCCTCTACTACTACTAACCGATAAGCTTTTTGCTTATACTTCCATCCAGTGCTTAGAGATATTTCAAGTGATTTGACCTTCTGTTTTACGTTACAAACAAAACATCGCTCGTCGTAACAGTCGAAGAGTTTATTCATCAACTGACTCAGGTATCTTTGCATAAAACCTAAATAGCACTCTAATAGCGTAATGTTACTCCCGCTTTGCGTACAAACTGGCCAGATATCTCTCGCCCCGCAAAGGTAAATAACAAAAAGGAGAACAAAGATTTCGCTTTTTCTTTCTCATTTACCTTTGTGTGGTTTGTATGTTTCTGTGTTTGCTTTGGATGTTTTCTCCTTCTGGTTCGTTCGTCTCTGCTACTGGCTGCTGCTGCTCTGCTGACGATGGTGATGGTGATCTATTTAGGCTCTCCCGTGCCCCGTAATAGAATTACTACCGCCGCCGCCGCCTAGCCCCGGATGTTGCTTCAACTGTTTCAGTGACTATTTCTCCCCAGTGACGAAATCGCTTCTCTAATCGATCGACACCGAGAGCTAGGGAAAATGTCTTGCAGAATACGATAAAGTGTCCCCTTTTCTCCACCGTCCCTACTGCAATCGATTCATTCGAACTTTATGCTTCTGCTGTGCTATCATAAATTGATCGACGTGTGCTATTTTTCATAGCTTTCCCGTCTCCCGGAACCACCACACTCACACACCCTGGGCCGTGTCCGTCCACCCACTTTCCGATCAAAAATGACTTGATTTTTCACCCGAAAGCACGATACTGTACCCGTTCTCTGCAGAACCGATTCCGCGTAATGATTATTGCACAATATTTTCCGCGACGTCAACTTGCTCCAGTCCGACACCAGCGCAGTCAGTGTCGGAAAATACACCAAGCGAAACCGAAAGAAAATCGAGAACACCACACTGTCAACAAAAAAAAAAGAATATTTTCCTCTTCAACTTGGCCGTAGCACTCTTCTGTCTCTTCTTCTTTTTTCTATTGTATAATCAAATTTCGACTGTGGCCCACTAAAACATTTTCCCCGAATTTCACTTCCTCCTCGACGGACAACACGACATACAAATTTCGAAACCGTCGCAGGGCCACAATACACAGAACTATAGTAGCTGGGCTGGCAGAGGCCAAAAGGAAAACACTTTTCTTCTAACGGGATTTGAGCAGAGAAAAACTGCTGATCTTTTTCTTCCTCCTTTCCGAACGGACCGACCGCGACGACGACGAATGGAAACTCAGCTTTTGTGTGCTGTTTTGTAGTAATGTTACGAGTTACGACGACGGAGAAACTAACAAGAGATGCAAGCGCGCATACAAACAGGGATTTTCTTTTCACTTTGTGATGATGTTGGTGAAAAAACAAGAAAACTTTCTGACGGCTGCGTGTGAATCTTTTCAGTAACGATCGCAGCGCAGTTTGACAGATTCGATTCCGCGAAGCTGAAAGGCCTTTTTGTTGTTGTTGGAGAAGATCACAGATCTACGATTAAGATGTGTGACTCTCTCCAAAAACGACAGTATCTCCCCGCTAATCCGGCTCTCGTTAATCCGGTGACTGCCCGAAAAAAAAATTACAGTGAAATTTTCAGTGGAAACAATGCTCTAACATTAATATTTATTGTCGACAATAAAAATGATTGTTATAATGTTGTACTCTTCCGAAAACGGCAAAACTGCTACCTAGCTGTACAATGAATGTACATAATAAAATGTTGTTACAATGATTTTTATCGTATTTTTCATTTATTTTATTGTTAACATGATTCGATCATGAACAATAATGAACAACTCTATTACAATAAAAATTGTTGTTACATTAAATATTGGTGTATTTTCATTGTGGGTTACTTCACGAACAATAAAAATAAATCTGATTGTCAGCAACACTGCCAATGTAATAGTCCATTTTATGAAATGACAGGAGCTGGTTTGCCTGCCAGAATTTGATGATATTGATATTGCTTCTCACAGCCGTTAGGTAACCGCCTCCTGCAGTTCATTCATGAGTTGAACCAGAAACGTCTCATAAAATGCTCTATTAAGATAGGCGCTGCTCGTATGGCTCTGGCTTTGAAAGTTCGTTTGGCTCAAAACCAGGCAGTCCACGTCCGCTCATATCTTATCCTAGACCCTCTCTAAAGCTTAATGGAGACCTTTTCCGTGCAGTCAATAATCATCAATAATAATAAAAAATTCCACCACTTGAAGATGTCAAGAAGGAACTCTCATGTGGAAGCATATTTCATGGGCGATTCTCTCCAGTCGAATGCATTAACTTATCAACGACGCTCAACCACCAAGGAGACGTGACCTAGGGATATCGAGCGCAGGGGAGTTGGCCTGCATTTCTCACAAGTTCCGGATCGAATCTCGATCCATAACCAGTAAAAAAAGGACCACCCGTAACAGACATACCACCCCCTTCCCTTCCCGGGGCAATGTTTTATTATTTCGATTTATTTTTAAAGTCGATAAAGTAGATCTGTCAAACCAACACATACACTCTAAAGTACACTGTTATTTTTTTAATCAATAAATTCGCCAACCAACAGTAAAATAACAATAATATATAATGTTATTGAAAAAAAATTATATGGGAAAATCACGAAAATTTCATTGTTAAGATACTTAACAACCCCCCTTTTTTATTGTAAATTTTCCATTTACCATGAAATTTATTGTTTTGTACAACATAAATCAAGGTAAATTTATTGTAGACGTAACAATATAAATCATTGTTAAGACAATAATTTTCGTCTTATTGTTACATTGTTTTTTAATGTATTTTTGTTGTTATTTTTTTCGGGTGGAGACTGGAAAATCCGATATCACGGTCTCGAGCACGGTCTCTTATACCCCGTACAGACTATGGCGTATATAATGTAATATAGGCTGTATTGCAATGAGCGCTCATACATCAGGCATAATATTTGATAACGGCACAAACACATTTGTAAGCAAACTTTCTAAGGCCCTTTACATTCGAACCAAAGTACGCCCACGCAAACCAACAACATCATCCACGCAGAAAAAACATAGTGCAATCAAACAAATTATGTTTCATGTTAAACAAAATTTTGAATAGAATATGGATCAATAAAATTGATGGATTAATTCAACAACAAAATTGAGTTGGGATAATACTACTAATTTTATTGAATTGAACATCGGCTTTTATTGATTTAAAAAAATGTTTGCTTGAATCAAATTGAAGCATTATTTAAAGTAATTGTTGTTTTTGTTGCATTGGAATGTTATTTTTATTGTTTCAAAACCAAATTTATTTAAATTCCCAGGTCAGATTAGCTGTCATTATAAAAAATAAACCCACATTTTTCAATTATGGTTTCAATTAAGTTACTAACTAAGCCACTGTTTGTTTATTAATTTATTTTGTGCGTGAATGGGTGGAAGAACGTTTTTCCCTTGTGTGCCGTGTGTACAACCTTAATAAAGATAAATCAATCAATCAATCAATTCTGTACACCATGGTGTAGATTCTAATGTCATTGTTGGTGATAATTTCGAGGGTAATTTTGACAATTGTTGTGCTGCTGGTACCGATTCTGCTGTAGATGCCGATGTTGACGCATTTCGGCGGTGCAGAGGAGGAGTTCCTGTAATGATACCAAGGGGTAGATTACTCCGCACACTAATCTTGGGTCATCATTTTTGTCAGTGTGCCGCAAGTTTGCCGATTGTGCCGGTCATAGAGCAAGCTGCGATTGTTTGTAAAATACCCATCCCGGCAACCCGGTATTTCTGACACCTTGAATGTTTTTGGTTTGAAATCGCAACGATAAATCGGATTGAGGATGACGCGGGAAGTGGCGGGCGTGCGATTTTTTTTTTGTTTTGTGTTCATATGATAATAAAAGTCCAGTGTTTTAGGGTTTTATAATGCCCTCAAAGGCAAACCAGAAACCTAGCTTTTCGTGATGTGAAAAGCAACGGTCTGTCAGCGGCCGGAAAGAATTTGAATCGGTGGGGAACATTGTTGGAGACCGACTATAGGATGATGAGTAGACTTCTGTAGTTTTTTTTTTTTTGTGAGTTGCACCATTATTTGAATTAAGGGTACTAATGGGGTCTGATTTACTGCCTCTTTCTCTTGAGCCCACTCTAGAACCTACATTTCGTATTTAGATCTATAAGTGAACCGCTGCGCTTGTCTGAATTCCTCTGATATATTCAATTAGAGGATGTTCCTGAATATACAGTCAAACAGCACGAAATGTTGTGAACAACTTCAATGACAGTTGTCTAGCGTTGCTCCCCTTTTATTTACAACAATCCGATGTCTACGAGATTGTGCAGAAGGTATGCCGATAGATGTGCCCAAACTGTCCCGAATCTAATTTCGGCACAATGTGCTGAGTGACTTACCCCTTGAATGATACAATATTTGAAAATGCCTAGGGAAATTATCATTTTACTTTTTTGCTTTTTTAAAACAAGTGTTAACAATGTTGTGATGTCGATACAGACTGGCACTGCACTACACACACAATCATAAAAAAGATTTTTAAACAATTGTGTTGGTTTGATTTAAATGGGCACAAAAGCATTTGTAAACAATCTTTCTAAGGCTCTTTATTGCTCGTGGAAAGTAATTCAAGATCCCTACGGTAGTGACCACTTGCCAATCAAAATTTCTATTACCAATGGTTCATCTTCCACTCGCTCGGTTGACATCGCGTACGACCTCACGAAAAACATCGACTGGCAAAAATTTGCGTCCGCGGTTCTCGGTGGTACTGATTCGGTTGAGATACTCCCTCCGCTGGATGAGTACTCCTTTTTATCGCGACTTATCGTTGACAGCGCTCTTCAAGCACAGACGAAACGCGTTCCGGGTGTTTTCGTTCGCAAACGACCTCTCACTCCGTGGTGGGATAAGGATTGCACCGACGCGAACAGCGAGAAGTCCGCCGCGTTTAAACGCTTCCGCAAACACGGTAAGGTCGAGGATTTTGAGCGGTACACCGACCTCGAGAAAACTTTTAAGGGCTTGATTAAAGCCAAAAAACGCGGTTACTGGCGTCGGTTCGTCGATGGTTTGTCGAGAGAGACTTTCATGAGAACACTCTGGAATGTCGGCAGGAGAATGCGAAACGCGTCATCACCGGTCAACGAAGACAAGGAGTACTCAGACAGTTGGATATTCAGCTTCGCGCAGAAAGTTTGCCCGGATTCGATGTCGGTTCAAACCAACGTTCGTGATAGTCCGTCGGGTAATACCGAAATAGATTCTCCGTTTTAGATGGTGGAATTCTCACTTGCTCTCCTCTCATGTAACAACTCAGCTCCAGGAATGGATAGAATCAAGTTCAACTTGCTCAAAAATCTCCCAGACGTCGCGAAGAGACGCTTGTTGAACTTATTCAATCAATTTCTGGAGCACAACATTGTTCCGGATGATTGGAGGCAAGTAAGAGTTATCGCCATTCGAAAACCTGGTAAACCCGCGTCGGATTATAACTCGTACCGTCCCATCGCGATGCTGTCCTGTATACGGAAATTGTTCGAGAAAATGATTCTTTTTCGTCTAGACAAATGGGTCGAGTCGAATGGTTTACTTTCAGATACGCAATTTGGATTTCGGAGAGGCAAAGGAACGAGCGACTGTCTTGCGTTGCTTTCAACTGAAATTCAACTGGTCTATGCGCAAAAACAGCAAATGGGTTCAGTTTTCTTGGACATTAAGGGGGCTTTTGATTCTGTTTGTATCGATGTCCTTTCGGATAAACTCCACGATAGTGGGCTTTCACCAATTATGAACAACTATTTGAGCAACTTGTTGTCTGAGAAATATATGAGCTTTTCTCATGGAAACTTGACAACTTCACGAATTAGTTACATGGCTCTCCCCCAGGGCTCATGTTTAAGCCCTCTTCTTTATAATTTTTACGTTAAAGACATTGATGGTTGTCTTGATGAAAATTGCTCGCTAAGGCAGCTTGCAGATGACGGCGTTGTGTCCGTTATAGGGCCAAGTGCACCGGACCTGCAAGGACCATTGCAAGATACCTTAGACAATTTGTCTACTTGGGCTATGAAGCTGGGTATCGAATTCTCTCCGGAGAAAACTGAGTTGGTTGTTTTTTCTAGGAAGCATCATCCTGCACAGTTACAGCTTCAACTAAAGGGTAGAACAATCACTCAAAGTATATCTTTCAAGTATTTAGGTGTCTGGTTCGATTCCAAATGCACATGGGGAAAACATATTGCGTATCTAAAACAAAAATGCCAACAAAGAATCAATTTTCTTCGTACAATTACCGGAACTTGGTGGGGAGCACACCCGGAAGATCTTATCAGGTTGTACCGAACAACCATCCTTTCGGTTTTAGAGTACGGCAGCTTTTGCTTCCAATTCGCAGCAAAAACACACATTCTTAAGCTGCAACGGATTCAATACCGTTGCCTTCGTATTGCGCTAGGCTGTATGCACTCGACTCATACGATGAGCCTAGAAGTACTCGCGGGTGTTCTCCCACTGACAGATCGTTTCGCTGAGCTGTCTTTCCGGTTCCTCATCCGTTGTGAAGTATTGAATCCTTTGGTAATAGAACACTTTGAGAAGCTGCTCGACCAAAATCCTCAAACAAGATTCATGAGTTTGTACTATGAGTACATGACGCTGGAGGTTGGTCCTTCTTCATTAATCTCCAATCGTGATTGCTTTCAAGCCTTCTATAGTTCCTCTGTAAATTTTGATCTGACCATGATGCAAGAAATCCATGGAATACCAGATCACCATCGGTCGATGGTTGTTCCCTCAATTTTTGCAATCAAGTACCACCATGTAAGTAACGATAAAAGATTTTTCACAGATGGGTCAACCATAAATGCTTCCACTGGATTTGGTGTGTTTAATCAATTTCATAGCGCCTCCTATAAACTGCAGAAACCATGCTCCGTATACGTTGCGGAACTCGCAGCTATATTTTACGCAGTAGAGCGAATTGCCTCACTACCTTCTGACCATTATTTCATTTTTACGGATAGTCTTAGCTCATTGGAGGCTATTCGTTCAATGAGGCCGATGAAGCACTCCTCGTATTTCCTGCCTGAAATACGAACTAAACTGAGTGCTTTATCTAACTGCTCCTATACTATCACCTTAGCTTGGGTCCCATCTCATTGCTCAATTCCGGGTAATGAGAAAGCGGACTCATTGGCTAAGGTGGGCGCTATCGAAGGCGATATTTTTGAGCGACAAATCGCCTTCAACGAATTTTTCTCCATTGCTCGCCAGCAAGTCCTCATCAGTTGGCAACAAAAATGGAATGATGGTGAATTGGGAAGATGGTTACATTCTATTCTCCCACAGGTGTCGAACAAACCATAGTTCAAAGGGTTGGACATGAGCCGCAACTTTATACGCGTTATATCAAGGCTTATGTCCAATCACTGCTCGTTAGACTCGCACTTCTATCGAATTGGGCTCTCAGGCAGCAATTTATGTGCGTGTGGCAGTGGTTATCACGATATCGAACATGTTGTTTGGTCGTGTACCTTACACCGTGTTGCCAGATCTGAGTTATCCACATCCCTCAGGGCCCGAGGAAAACAACCCGCGATACCCGTTAGAGATTTCTTGGCGAGCCGAGACCTTGACTATTTGAATTTAATTTATGTGTTTTTAAAACGGATAGATTTGAGGATTTAGAAGTTAGTGTCATCTTGTGTTCTCCCAAGTTGTTAGCTACCCATCGGTGTACCCCCATGTTTGTCTTTTTCATCAGAGTGTCGCCTAGTTCGAGATCAAGAGCCCATTGCTCTCCAAACCTTGTGTTCACAATCCCTACCCTGCCATCCATTTGTTACAATTTGTTACCCCTAACCTCGAGATAGCCACGAGTAATCGGCCCCCGCTTTACTAACGTTAGTTTTAAGTAATTTTGTTATCTAAACAATGAATTTCGGCTCCGCAAAGCTACAGCAAATGAGCCTGGAAAAATAAACGAATTATTAAAAAAAAAAAAGGCTCTTTACACGCGAACCAAAGTACGCCCACGCAAACCAATACCACTCTCGGAAAGGTGATAGTTGCCCCTATCCGACACGCAGAAAAAACACTGAGGCGAGCACTGAGGCGTAAACCAATAAAATAGTTTGTTATTATTTAATACGAAATTTCTATTTGTTTCAGTTCAAAATAAAGTTTCAGATTTGAAACTTTATTTTGAACTGAAACAAATAGAAATTTCGTATTAAATAATAACAAACTATTTTATTGGTTTACGCCTCAGTGTTTTTTCTGCGTGTCGGATAGGGGCAACTATCACCTTTCCGAGAATGGTATTGGTTTGCGTGGGCGTACTTTGGTTCGCGTGTAAAGAGCCTTAGAAAGTTTGTTTACAAATGCTTTTGTGCCCATATCAAATGTTATACCTGACATCTAGTTTTCACTGGAAATCCTATGTTTAAGTGCTCATTGCAAGACAGCCTATATTACATGACATAAGCCATAGTCTTTACGGGGTATTACCAACAATCAATACGAAACTAACGATTTTAAATTGGCTCACCACTTTAGTAGCCTATTGGTCCCAAGCAAACGATTAACGTACCCTATTCTAGTTGAAATTCTATTACTACACTATGTTTGTTTTGATTCGCTATGAAAGTTTGACAGATATCATCAGGGGTGTGTGGATTCATGCAGAACATGCAGGGGTGAGTGAAATAGCTTGGGACTGCTTGGGACCGTTGTTCTGGTACTGAGTGAGCCAAAAATAATAATGATTTTCTTCGGGACCCAGTGGTCTTAGAGTTACCTCTATGGTATTACCAACAATGAATACGAAACTAACGATTTCAAATTGGCTCACTACTTGACTAGCCTATTGGTCCCAAGCAAATCGACTAACGTACCCCATTCTAGTATAAATTCCAGTACTACACTATGTTTGTTTTGATTCGCTATGAAAGTTTGACAGATAAAATGAGGGGTTAGTGAATTTTCCTATGTTTCGAGGGGTGAATCGATTAGCTTGGGACCGAAGATAGTACCAGAGCTGAGCCAAAAAGTTAAGCTCGTTTCTTCGGGACCTTCTGGTCTTAGACTTCCCTCTATGGTATTACCAACAATCAATACGAAACTAACGATTTTAAATTGGCTCACCACTTTAGTAGCCTATTGGTCCCAAGCAAACGATTAACGTACCCTATTCTAGTTGAAATTCTATTACTACACTATGTTTGTTTTGATTCGCTATGAAAGTTTGACAGATAACATCAGGGGTGTGTGGATTCATGCAGAACATGCAGGGGTGAGTGAAATAGCTTGGGACTGCTTGGGACCGTTGTTCTGGTACTGAGTGAGCCAAAAATAATAATGATTTTCTTCGGGACCCAGTGGTCTTAGAGTTACCTCTATGGTATTACCAACCGGTGAAAACTAACGATTTTAAATTGGCTCACTGCTTGACTAGCCTATTGGTCCCAAGCAAATCGATTAACGTACCCCATTCTAGTCAAAACTCTAGTACTACTTGGATATTTCAAGAATTTTATGAATTTTGTTATGCTTCAGAAACAATTAAAATTTTCGGTACAATTGAAAAACAATGAACTTCAGGAAAGATTCAAAACCTCACAGAAGTAAAAAAAATAGGATTTTTACGCGAATTGTCTACTTTTGTGGATGTTCAAAATCTTCCAGAGAACCACACCGCTACCTTATTGCATATGCTAGCCCTAGATTCTAATTCATACATGTAGCTTCAAAATAAGTGAATCGTGAAGCTCTTGAATCTTTTTTTTATGAATTGATCACTTTTACGCATGGTCGTGACCTTCCGAAAGACCGGGTTGTGGCCAGCAGAGTTTGCATGCTGGTCCCAGATCCAAATTCATTAATGTAGCATCAAAATGAGTGATTTAAAAAAATATGGAGCACTAGGATCTTTTCTATGATTGGGCCCCCTTTACCAATGTTCCGGATCTTTTAAAGGACCGTTTCATGGCCACCAGAGTGCGCTTACTGGTTTCAAATCCAAATTCATTCATGCAGCATAACAACAAGTTGATTAAAAAATCTAGATCCTTTTTTACCTTTTCCAGAGGAATACTTTGCTGTCCCTTGGGTCCACATTTTTGTCCCAGATACAAATTCATTCATAAATCACAATGTTCAACTGAAAAACAAAACAAACATTTCATAGATAGCTATAACGGCGCATTCAAATGTGCAGCGATCCCATCTGTCAAAACCATAGAAATTTGTTATCTAGATAAAAATAATTCGCCCGGAATAGATTAGACACGAACCAACTCATACATTTTGTATGCGTGTTCGTGGCTAGGATACACATTTTTCGTGAACACGGCGGCAGATGTCAGTTTTCCTAATAAAAAAATAACCATAAACGAACGATAACCCAAATCATCGAACCATTCTACAAATGGTTTGGATGATACCCAGAACACGTCGTTAAGCAAATTAACCATACAATTTTTATTAGGGTTGTGCTTTGATCAGATATTTGATGGTAACTTGTATGGTCATTCATGTCGGTTTGTCGGTGATATTTGTACACACGCTGTTCACCGAGAGGCAGATTGTAATTTCCCGCACTTGAAGCAACCCCCAGTGTGGCTACTGCGTTAAGGCCGGCGCACAATGCATACGATTTCGGGTTTTTTGACAGATAATACATGGGCTCACTGTCAAAAACCCTGAAAACGTATCCATTGTGCGCCGGCCTTTATGGTGGAGGTAGCTAAAATAGCTTTAGCAACGCATTGGTGCGGGTGCTCTTAGATGCCTGTATAGTCATTATTGGGTAGTTTGTGGTTACCGTGTTTTCTCCCTTTGAACAAAAAAGCCTTTTGTGTACGTTGCACGGTAGCCAAAGTCAGAAACAATTTTAAAACAAAGCTTGTCACTGTCAGTGCAGTACCCCAAAAATTTAACTTAACTCTGATGAATTTCTAACATAAAAATGGAAAACATCCTAGAGCCAAGCAGTTCCGATGACAACATGCCTTCGGATAGCAAAAAGGAGTCGTTGCAGTCGTTGCTTTCCTCGGAGGACGACTTCTTCGACGGTCCACCGACCTCGTCGATAAAAATCGAACCAACTCAACTGCAGGAGGGAACCATCTCTTCGTCGCCGCATTACATGCAGGGGGATGACGAATTTGAGGGCATTATCTTTCCGGCGATCGGACGCGAAAGCAGCAGCACATCCATGATCGTTAGTAAAGAGCAGAAAGATCTCGACCGGGCCAAGCGAAAAGAGCTGAAAAGCAAGAAGGTCATGGAGGAAGAGGAGTTGGAGAAGATGCAGTAAGTAGTTTGATCAGTTCTGTTTCAAAGAATCGTTTTTAATCGAAACCTTCCCACAGGGTTCTGGTGTCCAACTTCACCGAAGAGCAACTGGACCGGTACGAGATGTATCGGCGAGCGGCATTTCCCAAGGCGGCCGTCAAGCGACTAATGCAAACCATAACCGGCTGTTCGGTGTCGCAGAATGTAGTCATTGCGATGTCCGGTATAGCGAAGGTGTTTGTCGGCGAGATGGTAGAGGAAGCGCTCGATGTGATGGAACGTACAGGCGAAACCGGAGCAATACAACCCAAGTATCTGCGGGAAGCTGTGCGACAAATACGCGCCCGCGGCCAAATTCCTAGCGGGCGGGGACACAAGCAGTTTTTCAAGATGAACTGATCATCGTATCTCTTTGAGTGCGTGATTGGTTGTGGCTTATAATTAGTTTTGCGTATTTGCTGATTTCGGATTAAACCTTGATTCAATAAAGACTTTTCTATTAAATTAAACTCACCCTAATGTCCTACTCCGGTTACTGCCCGCAGCTGGAATGTCTTTGTATTTTATATTGCCGTTTCAGGGAAAATAAGTCGACACAACTGACGGTATATTTCAAACTTATTCCAAAGGAAATTAATGACATTGGACAATCATGCGTCCATCGGCATTTTGAGCAATATTAGAAACTATAGAGCCCTATAAAAGAGAGAGACACGCCGACAAATAAAATAACTCGCAACATGACGATAGCCCATATTCTTGTTTTCATTCGAACCGTATTTTCCATAAAAAAAAACCTTATGGAAAATACGGTTCGACCGAAAACAAGAATATGGGCGGATATTTTTTCACACGAACTAGTAACCCTAAACCTGCATAACTTACCGCTCTCGTTGTGTATTGTTATTATCTGTAAGAATTGAAGTTTGAGGTCAAACGTTACTGAATATATGATAACGATGATTCTTAATTTATTATCATATGTTTTAATTCATCTCCCTAAAATATATCAAGCCAATAATAAAAATAAAGCCTATCCAAGATGGTTTTATTTAATTACAATATTGTCGTATTATTTTCGCCAAATTTGAGTCGACCAATTTTTGACCGTTCCACCCTTTAAGCACAGACAAACAGACATAACACTCACAATCACATTCATTGCAAATAATGTTTTAGTTGGGAATGTGCTTGCACTTGTCATGGTGGCGCCACTGAAGCAATGAGCAAGCCACCATATTTCGAACTTATCAGTGATGCTAGTTCTTTTTCACGTCTTGTTAGTAGATGTCAGCTCTTGAAAATGATAAGTGGTCAAGGCATCCCACTGGAGACACATACCACATCTGACGAATACAGAAAAAAAAAATGTTGAATATTACATCAAAAGTGCTGCACATTAGTCATTCCGTTCCTAATATTACCATAGAGGTAACTCACTAGAAGCATAGAGGTAACTCTAAGACCACTGGGTCCCGAAGAAAATCATTATTATTTTTGGCTCACTCAGTACCAGAACAACGGTCCCAAGCAGTCCCAAGCTATTTCACTCACCCCTGCATGTTCTGCATGAATCCACACACCCCTGATGTTATCTGTCAAACTTTCATAGCGAATCAAAACAAACATAGTGTAGTAATAGAATTTCAACTAGAATAGGGTACGTTAATCGTTTGCTTGGGACCAATAGGCTACTAAAGTGGTGAGCCAATTTAAAATCGTTAGTTTCGTATTGATTGTTGCTAGAAGGTCCCGAAATAAGGTGCTCAACTTTTTGGCTCAGCTCTAGTACTCTCTTCGGTCCCAAGCTAATCGATTCACCCCTCGAAACATAGGAAAAGCCAATAACCCCTCATTTTATCTGTCAAACTTTCATAGCGAATCAAAACAAACATTGCGTAGCACTAGAATTTCGACTAGAATGGGACACGTTAATCGTTTGCTTGGGACCAATAGGCTAGTCAAGTAGTGAGCCAATTTAAAATCGTTAGTTTCGTATTGATTGTTGATATTACGCTGTGCGATAATAACAGAATTCAAGAGCAAATCATGTTGATGACTGTAATATTCTATCAACTTTTACCCCTTTTATCAGTTATTGACGTTCAATACTTCACAATAAATTTTATTGATTGATACATATTATATTTTTTTGCTATACACACATTAAAGTGATGAGCGGTGGTAGAAAGGGCACTAATTAGTGATCCGTTTAAAAACTTGTTTCCAACAGAAGAAAAAGCACACTAAACCTAGCACTAAACAAACAAAACAAATCCCTGAAAAAAAGTCTAAGCTTCTGTGAATTTTTCCTACAGATCCGTATTTCTGCAGAATTCAATCAATTCTACAGATCTACGGAAAATTTCGTAGAACCGACATCACTGACTTCCATCTGTTTTGTTTTTATTCAACACCACTCAAAAAATTTCACACGTTTGATCGAAGTGTTTAAACACTTGATTTTTTAAATGCAGAATCACATTTACTTTAAGTGTATTTCACCTTGGTTCAATGTGTTATACACGTTAATTTATAGTGTTTCAAACTTTGACATGTTGAAATTTTTCACTATCTATTCAAGTGTATTGCACATCACGCTACTGTTCAAAACAGATGGATTTAAAGTGTTTTGCATTTCAATACGATGTGAATTGCTTGCTCAGAAAGGTAAACATCGAAAACAAGAGTTGTGACTTTTTCCTATCAACCCGCCTCATATATGAGAACAACCGTGGCACAGTGAGATCGAACGAAGACTCTGGCAGCAGCACACCCCAACAGTTCATGATCGAATCCAAAATCAGACCCATTAAAAAGATATGTGAAAGCTCTGGCCTCTGGTAGTTTTGTTTATGTATTTGTCGATTCATTTTTAGAGTCGATAAAGTAGAATATTGTAGAATATTGAGCGCGATAGCTATTGATATCACCATATGAGGCACATAGAATCCAAGTGTGTCACAATTCAAATACATAGTGTTCAGGCATGGTTCATAGCATAAGATTAACACATGAAATGGATGTGTTTCACAATAAGCGCAAAATAAAGTGTGAGACACCCCAACTAACATTCTCAGCTTTATAAGCCAACTTTTCCAGCATGGTGCTGTGAAGTAGCTGAAAAAAGCTGCAGATACAGCTAAAAGCAGAAGCCAGCAAAATAGTTTTTGAGAGCACTTACTCAACTTTTTCGCAACTATTATTCAATTTGTCAGTCACACTGAATAACAGCAGCCAATAAACACTAATGTCACTTCTATGCAAATATTAATCAACTCGAGAATCAACTTTCAACTGGTAGCTGCAGAACAAAGCTAATAAAGTGAATATATTACTCATTTGATGGCTTCTACACAACCAACCACTCTTGCTGAATAACATAAACATCAAAAGTGCTTTTTCAACAACTAAACAACCTGTACTCAGCTAATAAACTGTGTTAGCGCTACTTCGGAAGCATTTTTACAGTCAACTAGGTTTACCACGTCTAAAGTGTGCAGTTTTACAGTTTTTACTTTGCTCCTTTACAAAGCTGAAGCAACTAGTCGAGAAAAGTGATTCATGTACACTATTATAAAGCCTCTACTCAACGATATTATTGTAGAAGGGCATGTATATTTGTTTACGTCAGTTCAAAGTGTTGGCGTAGCGGAGTTGGTAGTGTCAAGGTTTGCCAATACGGTCGTCTCGAGTTCGATTCCAGGTTCCGGTGCAGGGTAAATAATTTGGTGGTGTGTGCTTTATAACTAATTTCGATTAATTTGATTTCCACAGCAAAATAGACTCAATCAATTCCTCCAACAAAAAAAAAACGTAAACAATATTTAACCTGGCTTCAACAGAAAGCTGTGTAGTGATTATTGGATAACCGGAAAATGGTTGAATAAGCACCTTTCAAGTTCGCACACAACTAAACAACAGGATAACAGCTGTTTAGAAGCGTAAATGGAAATGCAATAAGAGCTTGATACAACTGTCCCAACAGCCATAAGTAGCTGACTAAGTTCGCCAGATTTGCTTGTAAAGAGGTTGAGTAAAGGTTTCCTCATATCATATAACATTTGAATACAGCTTGAGGCTGTATTAATAAAATGAGTAAAGCGTTTACATTGCGAAAATTGTTAGTTGGGACATGATGATGGTGTGTGGAATTTTTTGAGTGCAGCTGATGCGTTGACAGAACGAGGGAAAAGCAACTGGTGAAAAAATTTCATGAACGAGGGATGCTCTGGTTTCACATCAATGCTTGAGAATGTGGATGATAGATGGTGCTAGCACAGACAAACAGACGTAACTCTTAGAAAAACTTGTTCTTGAAAACATAGTATCTCAAAACATATAACCTCAGTAACGACATCTCTCTGGCTTCTCGCGGAAAACAAGCTTGCTCGCTAACTCGTAAACAATATTGCATAAAAGTTCTATAGAATATATAGAAACGTCAAAGTGATCCGATGCCAGCGCTGCGACGAGTAGTTCGCGGAACTGATAATATTCAAATCAACCGTTAAATGCATGAACGAAGATGCACAATGAAGAGTTACGTCTGTTTGTATGTGGTGCTAGTGCACATGCAAGATACGCTTGACGATATTTTTTGAAGATTTTTCTTCTAAGGCTCTGAACCATTTGGTGGATTATTTTAACTTTTGGTTAAAATTTGACAGATGGAAAGTTATCGATTAACCCTGCTATCCGAGCATGGTTATTTCTGACAGACAAGAAGTTAAATTTTGACAACTGTGGCTCAAAAACCGGTCGATCGACAGCACGGGGATTTTCGAACATAGAAAATAACTTTCGAAATGTCACTTTTAACCACGAGTTAAATTTAACTCGGCAAATGGTTCACACCCTAAGAGTTATGTCTGTTTGTCTGTGCTTTAAGTTCCAGAATCAACCGAAATCAACTGCCCATAATCGCAAGTCAGTCTCATTTGTAAAGCGTTCAAAGATTTTACAAGTTTTCTGATTTGACACTTATTTTAGAGAGATAAATTTAAAAATAAACGTACAATGTGATAAGCCTTTTTAATAGAAACTAAACGATCGATTCAACCTCTGGTGGTGAATAGGATAACGTAAAAAAGAGTGTTGTGAGCATAATTTTTTGCCTTGAGACATAGGAAGCGGAACACTTTTTTACTTTTCCTGATAAATTGATTCATCTGAGATGCTGCAAAACTTAATCTACAGTTGAAAAATTTAATTCTGTAACGTTTTTGAAAAGATCCTGCTGGTGTTCAGCAATATTTTTGTTGAGAAAAATGGAAAATTAGAGAAGTGCCTTAGTGGTTATGGACTTCCGGATTTCTTGTGTGTGAATAGTTAAGGTGCAAATCAGTTCAGATTTGTGGAAAATCGTACAATAAGACAATTACCGATGGAAATTGGCAAGATTTTGAATGAAAAATGCTGTTATTTGCGTTGGGGAAATACTAATTCTGATGTAAACAAACGATTTGGTTGACGTTTTTTCTCGAACTCGTGTGGCGCACTCTACGTTGGTGGGGCATTAAAAAGGCGTATAGAATGCATCTATATTCACCAAAAAAAAAAATCGATAAAATTTCGTGAAATTTTTATTTTATGGCCAAAATCTAGGGGCACGCAATAACCTATAACTCCAACGCAGGCAACGGCTGTAATTAAATTAATTCCATTAACTACTGCTTTAATTACATTAATTACACAATGTAGAACAATAACTACTATTTAACTCCATTAATTTCAGTTGAAATTTCGTAATTAAAGTACATTATTTACATTTTAAATACTGTTAATTACGTTTATTACGGATAGATAATTTTAATTACCGTCAGTACTACTTCAAAACGCATTAATTACTATAAGTACTTTTGAAAGACGGACCTTTTTTTCTTGCTTCTTTCTTTTGTCACTGCTTGTTTCTATTTTTCACTTGCCATATTCTTCTCTTATTTTTTAAACAAATTTGGCTTCAAAACTGGACGCCTCAACACAGGAAAAAACACGATATATTACTAAATGATAACTTTATGAACACTTGAAACTAAATTTTAACAAATTCAAGTCAAAAAAATACGCAGCAAAAGCAAAACACGTCAGCTTTCAAGCGCGGCCTACTGCGATCCAGTCAATAGAGTCAACACGGAGAAAAAATACTACCCAAAATTTGAGTTCTTTTTACTTAATATTGACTTCAGCCTCTCACTTGCACTCGTTATTGTTGTCAAAAAAGGAACAAGAGATTCGACCCAACGATATAGTTCAGCCCAATAAGCTACTTTTGAGTAAAATGCATATTCTCAAATTTACGTGAATTAAACTTAATTTTGGGTAGAATATACTTAAGAGTAGGTAATTTTTTTTGCTGGTATTATATGGAAACTACTATATGCGATTTACTCAAATTTGGGTTATTGGGCTGAACCCCGGAATTGAGGGAAAAGTACTTAATTTTGGGTAGTTTTTCATCTCCGTGAATATGAGAACGTTTGCAATATATCAACAACGAAGCCAAGTACGATGAATTGGTGCTAAACACTAACACTGTGGTAACGATTTTACAAATACAGTTTTACAATAAAATATATCAAGCAACATATTTATTACATTTTGCAAAATGATTACACATCTTGAGAGAAAAACTTGGCTAAATAGGGGAAATGTATGTAATGTCGGCCTAAGTGTCCCTAATTTGGGCCCATACAGAAATTCAGCAATCGACTAAATTTCCAATAGCAACCAAAAATATCCATTAGTACCGTCCCAATGACGCGTTCATGTAGATAAAATTGATAAATAGTAGATTTTTAGCGATGGGCCCAATATTAGATCCATAGGCCAACATTAAAGCCATTTCCCCTATAACACAATTTTATGATACCACCAAGGTGTACCGAAAGGCTATGATATCACTTGAAAAACACAATTTCGTTCCAAGACCCGGAGAGACGAATGGCATATACGAATAGACTCATCTCAACGGGATAGACGTGGATTTGACATCGCGCGAGTTTCTAATGCGTGTTGCAAAATGCATCGCACGTGGTATTTGATTAAAGATGTAAAACAGTGTAACCAAATAAATTTTAAAGTTTTCCCCTGATTACAAAAGTCTGTAAATATCTGTGAAAAAACTAAATAGTCTGTAAATGTCTGTAACGAAACAAATGTCTGTGAAAAAAGTAAAAGTTTATAATTTCATACAACTCTGGCATCTCTGCCAATCACCGACGGACATCGATTGCCATCCATTGACAGCAATCGAATGTGCAGGAAGGCAGCTTCCACTCCTGCGTAGAATATTGCACCCATTTTCAATACACATGGGCCGGGACCAACGACTTTACTTCCCTTCCGAAGGAAGACGTGACAAGAGATTTTTATGCCACCGACCTCGGCTGGGATTGAACCCAGACCCATTGGGGTGAGAAAGCAGTCACGCTTACCACTACACCACCGACGCCGGCTCCCTTAACTTCACTTAACTTCAAGGAAGTTTCGGAAACTTGTATAAGGTTCCCAATTCTACGAAGTTTTCCCGATTTGCGAAGCATTCTGATTTTTTTCGAAATTATCTAAAACCCTACGAAGTTTCCCGAATTTATATTAAATTTCCAGAATTTCTACGTTGAAGTTTTACAAAGTCCAATGAAGTTAAAAAAAATCGGAACTTCAACGAAGTTCCCCTACTATTCGAGACTCAATCCTCGACTCAATCCACTCCGAAGGATCGGCACTTTGCGGGTAAAGAAGTGTGCAGAAGTCCAGGAGGCGAGCATCACACAGACTGAATCAAAACGAAAAGAAAACCAGGACGGAAGAAATGCAACAAGGGCAATGGACTGAATACCATTCCATTTGTGAGGGGTGCGTTATCAACATACGGTGGCTTATCGCCAAACGGTTACAGTATAAGACGAGAATGCGGTCTATTTCATTATACGGTTACAGAATGAACCTAGAGATTTTTTTTCAAATTATAACTCGAATGATTCTACAAATAAGTCAAACCATTGCTTTCGACTAATAACTAATTCGACTAATAAACGAGAACATTAATTGCCAATCTCAACTTTATTAATAACACATGGTACAGATCATGGAACCTTGAAGAGAACAGAAATAAAAAGGGAAAACATACGAGAACACGATCATCAGTCAGCATACGGCAGGATAGGAATCTTGTGAAGCAAAATCAGAGCACGTCAGTCAGTGGTCAGCCGCGCGCGAGTGTACACATCCCGATCCCGATCGACCCGACACTTTTGGACTTGAGAGCAGAACATCACCAGACGATGCTCTAGCAATATATTGAAAATAAGTGTGCCCTGTTATCAGTTACCAGAAAGAATGAGCTTCCTAGTTTCCGTTAAAGTGATAGTGAATTGAGAACGTAAATTTTACAAATAATTGGCCCCATTTACGTTGTAGCAGCCGTCGAGAAAAGGAAGACCAAAACTGGACCGTACACGGAACAAAGTGCAAGTGCAACAGCAGAAGAAGGTGTGGTGAAGGCGATAAGGAAGGAAGGAAGGAAGGAAGAGATACTTTTGGGATCGCAACGCACCATCGGAGCACGATGCAGCAGAGAATCGTTGTTGGTGCACTCTTCATCTTTACTTTCACTGGTAAAGATTCGCGATCAGCAGGGTTTCATTTTACCGGTTAAGGTTTACAGTGAATTTGAGGACGCCTCTAAACCCTTTCTTTGCCAGAAGATTTTTCGTTGTTTTGAGATGTAAAAACGTGTTTTTGAAAAAAAAAATAGACTAGAACAAAAGATGTTCCGTACAGTTTAAGTCTATCGAATCCATTAAAAAAAAGTTTTTTGTTCAAAATCAATAGTATTCTAATTGGTTTTCAGCAGTTGCTCAGTTGATTTTATAATTCATAACTCTTCGGCCAGCTGCTGTGACCGATGCTAGGCATTGCGAAGAGCCTCAGCAGAATGTGGCGGCGGGGGAACCATGAGTGGTTCGTTCGGTGACGCACCTTTCAAGAAATGGTTAGGGCTTAGCGCGTCGATCGACCCCTCGGCAACATATGTAAGGGGACGAGAGTTGACTAGATCCTCCGCTTCCACAATAGACGTTTGTAGGGTCTCATCAGTCAGTCTTTTTCCATCGTCAAACGCACTTAGAGCATCTTTCACGGTCCTGACGAGGCGCTCCCAAGAGCCTCCCATGTGGGGAGTTGCAGGAGAGATGAACCTAGTACTTCGACGCATTCTTCCTCGATGAAACGGATCTTCTCGGTGATTTCTTTGCTGGCTGCTTTCAGATTGGTGCCCTTGTCGGAAATGAATTCCAGTGGAGGTCCACGGCGGCACACGAATCTTCGGATGGCCATAAGGCATGGGGCTGCCGACAGATCGTGCGCAATCTCGAGATGTACTGCACGAACTACCAAGCAGGTGAACAAAACACCCCACCTTTTCTGCCGACTGCGTCCAACGATCACCTCAATTAGGTTTTGCACCGTCGGGGTTAACCTCAATCTGATGACAGTTTAGTGGTACTGTTTACGTGGACTTAGCCGATTTTTTCTTGGGTGGAATTTCTCGATAATTTTTCAGATTGCAGTGAGATGTAAACCACATTTCTGCAATGTTCACGAGCAACATCCTTGCAATGCGCTGTTCCTCGCCAATTTTCAAGTTAAAATTCGGAAATTTTAGAATTTTTTTTTTCGAAAAAACGACTAAGTGCTTGTAAACAGTACCACTGAACTGTCAAAAAGGTTCAGCCGATTAACACTGAGTTCATTCTTGACGTCACGCTGCAGAACCTAATGGGTCCAAAATAATCGACTCCGACATAGCTGAACGGGCGACGATGGGGATAAAGCCTTTTTATCGATAACGGTGCCATCCTAGGAATTCTAGGTTGATTCCGGTGCACCTTGCACCAAATGCAACTGGCTGACACCTTCTTCACGGCTGCATTAACGTTCTCAATGTAGTAGCGTTGAGTCATTTTTCACAGTTTCGCGAAAGGTATGTCCACACCTTTCGTGGTAATGCTGGACCCTTTGGAAGAATGATAGGAAAGCGTAGATCAAACGGCAATGCCTCGGCGTCCTTTGCTCTTCCTTCCATGCGAATGATTCCATCACTATCCATCAACGGCGTAATCTTGTAAAGAGGGCTGGATTTCTCCAACGCGTACCATAGATCCGAAGGCTGTCCTTGATTTTTCAGCAACACTTTAAGATCGTCCGCCTGAGCAGTTTTTATCAGGAAACACTCTACTTTCCTGAATTCGTCCTGTTCCAACGGTGTCCGAATCGCTGTTCCGCAATTGAGCAATACCTTTTCTTGTTGTTTTGTCGGTTTGAGAGTCTCAATCGGCAGCCCTTCTTTCTTTATTTTACAATTTGAAATGAAGCGAAACACGCAAGCCATCACGGTCCACTTATTGATTCGCTGAACATCTACTAGGGGTTGCGGTATAGTAATGTCATGGAATAGGTAGTCGGCTCCAAGATCTTCCTCGACGATTGTTGGTATCACAGGTTGCTCAGCTTCATCCTGGTACAAGAACTTTGGTCCGTTGAACCAGGTGCTGCCCACCTCAAAATCCCATTCACCGTTAGCTTATCTGCAACGTTGTGATTCGTCGGAACCCATCGCCAATCCGACAACCTTGTGAGTTCCAAAATTTCACCAATTCGAAATCCCACAAAAGGCTTATACTTACGCTGATCGGAACGTATCCAGGAGAACACTGTCTGTGAATCGCACCAGATTGCTGCATACCTTCTTTGCTAGTCTCGCTCCCAACACCGTGGTTTGAAGCTCCAATCGCGGAATTGCTTAAGCGGCGCCACTTTAGTGCGGCTCATCACCAAAACACATCGAACCTCTCCACGTAAGGCCTGTACTCGAAAAAAATGCACCAGACAAAAGTGTTCGCCAAAAATTTATTTTAAGTCGGATTCTCTTTTCAGGGAATGAACTAATGGATTATGTTTCGGCATAATTACTTTATTCAATTTCCTTTCCATCGCTGAAAGCCCACACCTTTCCCTTAAGACCCCTCATTACATTTTGTGCAATGGTGGAGCCTACCTTTTTGGTCACTTTAATCCATTCTTTCTTCAACTCCAGCTCGTTTTTAAACACCTTGGACGATTTTCGAACTTTGGCCTTCATTATGGCTCAAAATCTTTCCACCGGACGAATCTCTGGTGAATTTGGGGGGTTGGCGGTTTTTGGTACAAAAACAACGTTATTGTCTCTGTACCAATCCAACGTCGATCGCGCGTAATGGCATGATGCCAGGTCCGGTCAAAATAATGTCTCGCCTCCGTGGGACCGCAGGAAGGGCAACAGACGCTTCTGGAGGCACTCGGTGCGGTAAATTTCGCTGCTGATGGTACCCATTGTGATGTACGATTTACTCAGTTTACCGCATTGGCGTATGGCCTGCCAGAGCAAGTATTTTTTAGCGAATTTGTCCACTTTCTTCTTCCGGAACATCATGTCTTCCGGAACATCATGTCTTCCGGAACATCAAACCGTAATTCGGCAACGTAGAACCAACAATCAATACGAAACTAACGATTTTAAATTGGCTCACTGCTTGACTAGCCTATTGGTCCCAAGCAAATCGATTAACTTACCCCATTCTAGTCGACATTCTAGTACTACACTATGTTTGTTTTGATTCGCTATGAAAGTTTGACAGACAAGGGGTTATTGGATTTTCCTATGTTTCGAGGGGTGATTCGATTTGCTTGGGACCGAAGATAGTACCAGAGCTGAGCCAAAAAGTTGAGCACGTTTCTTCAGGACCTACTAGTCTTAGAGTTACCTCTATGGTAGAACTCCAGCCCCGGTATCTGCTTTGCGTCTGCCTTGATGTAGGTTTCGTCATCCATAACCACACACATCGGTTTCGTTAACCACTCTCGATACAGCTTCCTAGCGCGGGATTTGGCCGCCGTGTTTTGTTGATCACGCCGGTTCGGTGCCTTCCGGACCTTGAATACACGAAGCCCAGCTCGTTTCATGGTTTGCTGAACGAACCAGGCGGAACACTTTGCCTTCAGAGCCGCGTCGCGAATCGAAAGGCCTCACAGGGTTAGCTGTCTTCGATTTTCTTCCACTTCCAGCCCGCCGCTCGGTCGTCTGGGACTCCTTAAACGATTTTACCACCCGAGACACAGTTGTATGGGTGATTCCCAGTTGTCTTCCCATCCATCTCATGGTCGCAATCGGATTTTCCATGACGGCGCGCAAAATTCTCCGGCTATTTTCTTCTTGTTTCGATGACATCTCAATAACCACTAAATCGATTGTTATGAAATTTGGATCATGTAAACAATTCACTCCAAACTAATTATACCCAGATTTTAATCAATTTTTACCCACGGATAAAAAAGTTACACACGGATGGTGCATTTTTTTCGAGTACAAGCCCTACCACGACCGGAAAGTATGCAGCGCAACCGTAAGCGGCTTCGATAGCGCCGGTAAACACATGTAGTTGTCTCCGAAATATGCTCTTGAAATTCTCACCGCTTCGATCATCGAAATCTGCTGGACCCAGTTCTTCCACTTAACGAGCGAAATTTCGTCAATAGGTGCATCCCATGCACACCCAGTTCTCCACAAATCCTGTATGAGCATCTTACCGAGCACTGTACGGTGACAAGAGGCCCATTGGATCAAACACCGACATGACACAGCTCAGGATGCTGCGTTTGGTCGGATGCTCGTCATCGTTCTTCTGGGATGGAGCGACGAACGAAAACGTATCGTCTTTCGTGTTCCAGATGAGTCCGAGACTCGATCAGCACCAGCAGCTTTATCTTTCAAATGGACGGTATCATCCATTTCTTGAACGAATGCTTCCGAAGTACTCACCCAATTCCGAATATGGAATCCTCCTCTCGAGTGCACATACCGTATGCGTAATAATGTTTGCACCATCAAGCAATGTCAAAATAAAAAAAAAATCTCAAAAATTTCGTTTTCGAGTTTTTTTTTTATTTATTCAAAGGGGGATGTTTCTCAGAGTCTTAAACTATGTTAATCATCGATCGAGTTTCCACTTGCTGCAATTACGGCCTCCACACGCTTCCGGAATGCACGGCAGGTTCTAATAATCTGAGGCTTGCTGTACTCGGGTGGCGTTTAGAAGAGGACTTGGCCTCCATATTGAGTAATCCAGCGGATTAAGATCGGGGTTGGATGGCGGCCACATATCCTTCGCCCAGAACGGAAGACGGACTTCTGAGTACGGTTCGAGGTGTGGCATGGGGCCCCATCTTGTTTAAATACAACATTTGGCTTCGGACCGTACTGTTCTTTGATCCACGGAAGAACATACTTACTTAAAATCCCGATGTAGACCTTCGTGTTGACCTTGTCGCCTTCTGGAATGAACACCGCGTCGATTTTTTTGCCATCGGAAGCCACCAATCCAAACGCCATAACGCTAGCAGGATGCTTGGTCAGATACTCGTTCTTGTACTCGTCGGCCACGTCTTTTACCGGAAGAGAACTAATATACCGGTCGGTTCTGGAATTTGATACGGGATCGACGGTAAACATGCTCTTGTCGGTGAACAGGATTACCGGATTTTTTCGCTTAAGGAAGTTCAAGATTTTCTAGCATCGTTC